AACTAGAGTACAAATTCTTGAAGTATCAGCCACTAGAAATGAAAATGGAAATGAGGATGAAAATCCCAAAGAAGAATTTAATAATCTAATGCATGATTATAATTACAATCTGTTAGCACCCGAAATGAAAGATATACTCCCAAAAGTAATATACGATCCACAACCTTCTAATAACTGTAATATGTTAAGAAAAATACAAGATTATAAATATGTAAACCTCCTGGATAACGTGATAACTCAAAGGTGGTTTACCATCATAAAAATAGTGGTACAAAATGAATTCACTTTTTAAACTATTGCTCTTATCGATTCAAGAGCCAATCTAAACTGTATAAATGAAAGACTAGTTCCAGCCAAATATTTCAACAAAACTACCCAGGTTTTGAATAATGCTGATGGTAGTAAAATGATAATAAAATATAAACTATTTGATGCAGCAGTTTGCAATAATGGTGCATGCTTTAAATTTCCTTTTATAATCGTTAAAAGATTATGCCAGCCTTTGATACTTGGAACTCCCTTCTTAAATATGCTCTATCCCATTAGAATTGAAAGTACTGGGATAAAAGCGAATATTAGGATATGAATTAAAATTTGACTTCATTGATAAACCAAGAATTCATGAAATAAATAGCATCAAAAATAAGATTTCTACGATAGAAAGATTTCTTTTCCATTTAAAAGAAAAAGTTAAGTATAAAACTATTGATGAAAAATTAACATCTCCACAAATACAAAATAAAATCAATAACTTCAAAATGATATTAGAAAAAGAAGTTTGTGCAGAAATCGCTGATGCTTTTTGGAATAGAAAGCAACACATTGTTGAACTTCTTTATGAACCAGGCTTTAACGAACAAAAAATTCCAACTAAAGCCAAGCCATTACAAATGAATAGCAGACTCCTAGAAATTTGTAAAACTGAAATACAAGAACTCCTTGACAAAAAACTAATCAGAAAAAAGCTGTGCAGCTTTCTATGTAGATAAAGCTTCGGAGATTGAAAGGAGAGCCCCACACCTTGTTATAAATTACAAACCTTTGAATAAAGTTTTGAGATAGATTCGCTATCCTATTCCAAATAAAAAGGATCTTCTCGATAGATTAATCAATGCTTATATTTTTTCAAAGTTTGATTTAAAATCAGGATATTGGCAAATTCAAATTTTGGAGAAAGATAAATGTAAAACAACATTTATTGTTCCATTTGGGCATTTTGAATGGAATGTAATGCTTTTTGGGTTAAAAAATGCCCCTTCAAAATTTCAGAACATTATGAATGACATTTTTAATCCATATACTAAATTCATTATTGTCTATATTGATGATGTCCTCGTATATTCTGATAATATTGACCAACATTGGAAACATTTGAAAATATTTTTTAAAGCTAAAAAAAATGTCAGACTAGTTGTTTCTGCAAGAAAAATAAATATTTTTAAATACAAAAATTAGGTTTCTTGGGCATAATATCTTTCAAAGAAGGATAATTCCTATCGATAAAGCAATTGAATTTGTTTCCAGATTTCCTGACATCATAAAAGAAAAAAAAAAATTACAGAGATTTTAGAACGTCTAAATTATATTTCAAATTTTTAGAAAGATTTAGCCTTAGATGCTAAACCTTTATTCCATAGACTAAAAAAAAATCCTCCATATTGGACTAATGAGCATACCATGACAGTCAAAATTAAAACAAAAGGTCAAAGAATTACCTTGTTTAGCATTATCCAATCATATAGCTTTTAAAATTATTGAAACAATACCTCTTAAATAGGATTAAGAGGTATCCTTAAACACAAAATCCTAGATAAGGAACAACGTATACGCTTTACCTCTAAAGCCTGAAATTCGGCATAACATAAGTATTCTACTGTTAAAAAGGAGGTCTTAGCAATAGCCCAGGAAAACACCTGGCTACAAATGGTTCTAGCTCAGTAAAATCTTTGGCATCCTCATCAAATCTGAATGCTTTAATAAGAAAGCAAGCTCAAGAGATTCAAATATCTACTCAACAATCCCCCTTGAGCTATAATAGTCCAAACCCAGATAGATCTTCATTTCTTGATATAGCTTATATCCTGCTGATTATAATAGAAAATGAACACAGGGAAAAAAACCCTGTTGAGTTAGCCATCATACATTTGCACCATCATCCACATCCTAATATGGGAGAAAGATGTAGAGAATGGTATGAAGCTATTTTAATATAAACTGGGTCGGTGTCAATAATATACCACTATAGAAACAATGACTAGAAAATAGCATATTCAAAATTCCAAATACATAAGATTATCTCTTATAATGACTGGGGCCTGAATCCCTTAAAACCAAGCGAATTAATTACCAAAGGATTTAAAATCAAATCCTATCATTATTTTGAATACATTAAGGCATGGGACAAAATCTTTGCCTACCAGAATGTAAAAAATAAACACAGCTGGTATGTGCAGTTTAAAAGAATTGAGCCAACAGAATTTCCAAACTAATTTAACAGTTGATTCCTGTTATGGGGATCATTAAGCCAAATACTTTCAAAAAAATTCCAAATATCACAAAAAAAATTTTCTAAATATAATAAAGCTAGTCTAAAACGAGACTATCACATATATTTCATGGCCCTATATCAAGCTCCCTGGATTTTAAAATAGTTCTACTAGATTTCTGAAGATGACTTAGACCGGTGGGATTATATTCCAGAACTATAAAGATAATTTTCAATTAAATGGTGGGACAACTATAAAAACGATTCTCTAGATCCCGAAAAATCTGTATGAAGGCAATTCCAAATTCTTCACCAGAATCAGATTTGGGATTCTCAGACTACATTGCTCTAATGCAACAAAAAAATCCCACTTTGTCAAAAGCAGAGCTCAAGAAAAAATTACTCTTTGCTCTAGAAGAAGAAGTAGAAGTTAAAATACCAACTTCTTCAAATGATACAGAAACCGAAGATCTGGACCCTCCAAATGAAGATTTATTAGATAAAAATCAGGGACTGTACGATTCCATCACCATTCATGATACGTGTCCCCAAAAAATGACAGTAAAAGAAGCATTATTGCCGACACTGTTGCTACAGTAAACATCAATCACTATTGCTACAGTAAAAGAAACATTATTGCCGACACTGTTGCTACAATAAAAAGCGACAAGAATATTTGCGTTTGCTTTGACTAGAAAGAAAAGCATCTACCTTATCAATACGGACTTAAGAACGTTTGAAGTCTGCCCTCCCCTCTTCTATAGAAGGACCATGCCTCAAAAGGAAGACACCTCAGGATTTCTTTATGAATATCATAACTAGGGTTTTAGTATTCTGAATGATTGTTGTAAGTTTGAGTGATTATAATTTTTGAGTGATAGTTGTAAGCCTGAGTACTTACTACGAGTACTTTAAATTTGTTTTCTGCCTCTCACCTCTACTTCGGGCTTTCATTTTGTTTTCTGCCTCTCACCTCTATTTCGAGTTTCGACATAAGTACATATCTCTGTTCTGGCTTTATACTTCTATTCAAAGTTATTGTATATGAATGTTACGCTTTCTTATTTAAGTTTATGCTTATATATATAGAAAGATGCTAGGGTGAGCCCACTAGGTCACATAATAGTAAAAGTCCAATGGCTGACCTAGATTAAAAATCTGAACCGATCTGATGGGCAAGAGTGTTTGAATTTTAATTTTCTTTTCTACAAATCCAAATCACTTGAAATTTTTGGTAAATATTCTTCTCATCAAGTCGCACCTGATAAAAATATAAAAAAAATAATACAAAAAATATAAAAAAAATAATACAAAAAATTAAAAATGACCACAATACCCCCAAAAATTTATAGGAATATTTTGATCGTTTTTTTCATGTATAATAGTTTTAAAATTTTCAACCATTTTTTATCAACACACGTTTAAAATTTCAAATAATTTAAATTTGTAAAAAAAAAATTAAAATTCAAACACTATCGAACATTTGTGATCGTTAAATCAACCCATATTCAATTTAAGCCATTGGGCTCATTTTTTCTTGCGAGCCAATCTGTGATCGTTAGATTAGCCCAGATTCAATTTGAGCCATTGGGCTCATTTTTCCTTGTGAACCCATTAACACACAGAAGCATTTTCTATATATATATATATATATATATATATATATATATATATATATATATATATACTACTACTACTCCACCTACCTCCGTCGTTACGTACTACAACAGTACTAAGTTA